CTTCACGTTGACCACGACCCACCAAAAAACGAAAAATGTCTTCTTTAACCTTAATTTATCAAAACACGCAACCATTGCTTGGCCTCCAAAAAATAAAAATATAAAAAAAAATAACGGAATTATTGCATTAGGCCCACCAAATTATGCAGCATTGGCATAAATCCCTCTTTCTAAATTTTCCTGTATCCGTTTGAAATGGTCTCATCTCACTAACATGTCCTAACTACCATTTTTCATCTGAATTAAGATTAAAAATAAATTGAAATCATTTGAATAATTTAAATTAAGAAGTAAAAAGTGAACCATGGTGTCAATTCTTTCCTGGAAATGTCGAAGACAAAATGTTAAAATTAGACCGACATTCAAGTAAAATTCATATAGATATAGGCTCCATTTGTTGCACAAAAATGAATGATTTGAAAAATGTTTCTTTATAGTGATCTCTTGTGTGGCTTAAAATAATTTGCCAATAACGATAATATTTTTCATTAGCTAATTATATTAAGCCATACAAACGATCATTTTTAAGAAATGTTGACACCTATTTTTAATTTGCCCAAAATTAATTGCAAAATTTAGGAGTTAATTTCTTTAATTCCTAAAACAAAAAAATATTTCTATTTAAATGCATTGCATATAGACATTAGGCATATGTGCATTAATAAGGCCTATTAGAGCATATTTTCTTAAAATTTAAAAAAAAAAAAAAAAAAAAATCGAAATCGATTCGGGCGGGTCGGGTGGGCCGACCCGCCCTTTCTTCCTTTTTCTTTTTCTCTTTCCTCCTGCGCGGGCCCGGCCCGTTTCCTTTTTTTCCTCCGCGTGGGCACGGCCTGCCACCCCTTCCTCTCTTCCTTCTCCTCGCCGGTCGCTCTCTCTCCCCGTTCTCCCCGTGCGCGACCGGCGTGGCGTGGCACTGACGGCGCCGCTCCTCATCGTCGTCATCCGGTCGAGAGGAGGCAGGGAACACGCCACGGGGGCCGGCCATTAAGGCCGATCCCGTCTTCCTATCTCTGGAGCTCCCTCTCTCTCTCCTTCTCTCTCTGCGTCCTCACGAGAATCGGCCCCTCCTCTGCACCGGCCTAATGGCCGCGAAAGTCTTGGTAGGAGCAGAGGCCGGTGCGAGCATTGAATGGAGCGAGAATGGCGTCGTCGTCGTCGAATATACGAGACCCGGAGAGAGAGGGGAGAGGGGGCGGTTTTTCTCGGTCGGTTTGAGCGGAGAGAGTCCCCGGCGGCCATTTTAGAGGAAAACACGAGAGAGGCGTGAGAGTGTGAGAGAGAGAAAGAGGGCTTCCGGCGGCCACCGCGCCTCGGCTTCGAGCCATCCATCCCCGCCCGCCGGCGGCGGCGACCTGAAGAGCCAAAGCCGCCCCGGTCGGCGTTTTACAAAAAAAAAAACAGACGAGAGAGATCGGGGGGAGAAAGAGAGGATTGGAGAAAATTTTTTGTGATCTTTAGTTTGCGGGTGGAAGAATACGGCGCGGGGTTCCTCAAACGAGCCGAGTCGCCGACGATCCACCGAACCAGAGCGTCGCCGGTGGTTGGTTATTCTCGGCCAAAACGAGCAGGAAGAGAGAGGAGAGACAGAGAGAGAAATCGGAGAGAAAGAAGGCATACCGAGGTTCCGCCGGAGCAAAAGAAGAACCCGGCGCGCCGTCGTCCCCGATCGGTCGGAAACCTCCCGGGACGCGCCGTCGGCCAGGTGAGTCGTCCCGCAGCCCGAGCCTCTGTTCTCCCTGTTTTGCTCCCGGTTTGGCGGGACCCGCGCCGGCCGTTTCGCGCGAGTCCGCCCATACCGCCGTCCCGCCGTCCGTGCATCATCGTTAAAGGTAAAACGAGTTTCCCGAGGACGGCGGGGCCTCGAAGCAGTCGGAATCTCCTGTTTTTGGTCGCGCACGCCCGGTGTTGACAAAATGCCTCAAAGAGGCCGGTTTTTAGTCGGTCGCCGGCGCGAGCGGCGGTCAAACGGCGACCCGGGTGGACGGCGAGGCTTGGCGGTGTTCTAGAAGCCGATTTGGGGCGGCAGCTGGGTCGGCGGCGGACGGCCAATTTGGCCTCTCCGGCGCCCCCCCCGTAGTGCGTGTGTTCGGGTCGGATTCGACCCGATCAGCGAGTCCGGCCGAGTCGCCGGGTCGAATCCAGTTGACCACGGTCGGTTACCCGGTTTAATATTATATTAATATTTTTATTTTATTTTATTTTATTTTAAAAAAAATTAAAAAAAATTTTTAAAAAAAATTTTAAAAAAAAAATTAAAAATTAAAATTTTTTTTTTCTCTTCTGTACTATTATTTATATATGTGTATATATATATATATATATAAATTTCAAAAAAAATTTTTTAAAAAAAAAATAGTTTTTTTTTTAAAAATTAAGTTATATCTAAGTGTTTTAATTTATTGTTGTATTATTATGCATGTTATTGTCTTGTTTAAATTAGACAATTCTGAGGTTGGGCGGTAGTATTTTGCATGTTAATTTTATTACTGTTATGCATGTTTTTAATACAATTCCATGAGCTGTTGTGTTTTTGAATGTCATCTGACTTGTTAAGGTTAGAACCTTAGGCTGCATACATTGTTGTGTTCCTGACTGCTAATCGTTTCTGATTATGCACTCGCTTGATCACCTCACATGTTAGGAGAAAGGTCCTAAAATCAATCCAAATTGCCTGACAATTGTTTTCAAAAAATGAACAGGGTAAAATGGTACCGAAAGGGCATTAGTTATCTAACTAGTGTAACCAAGTCCCGAATTCGGTTAATCTACGGTTCGTAGGAATAGGGTGACTCTCCCATCATCCTATTTGGGTTTCTAATCGACCTACCCCAAATCGATTAGTGGCGACTCCTTGATATAAACCACTTGCATGTTAAAAACTTAAACCCTAAGTCGCGATATGGTACGGGCTTGGAGGCAGAGTTAAGTCACGAACTTAGACTTAGCACGTATCGTGCGAGCCCCTTTTTGCATGTTGTTTAAAAAAGGGCTCGGGAGTTCGGTCGCGACAAGAAAATATTTTTCAAATAATTCATTTTAAGCAAAACAAACGGAGCCATAGTTGGTGGACATGTGTTCCTCGATTTTCGCAGTTTCAATGTTGAATGTTCCCAAACTCTGCACTCTCGAAGCAATCCAAATTGAACAGCTTAGCGGCAATGATGCTTAGACGAACCCACTAGAGTGTGTGATGTGCAAGCAACAAGATGTTGCTTTTAAGGGTCAATTTTGAGAAGTTGGCTGTTGCTTTCATCTGAACCAAGAGAAGTACGAAAATTACTCTTAGTTGTACTCGTCACTATAGGAACGGGACTCGCGGTTCATATCAACATTATTTTCAATTAGTGACTAAAATAATTCATCATTAGGTCCTATATATGGGTTAGGTTATTTTATTGACAAATGGTCACACTGTATTCTATATGGTCACAGAAATTGAAGCATGTAATGAGCAAATCTCAAGTCAACTTATGCGTTGGACATTTGTACCTCATGTGGAGATTTTGGCATGCCAATGGAGTTGTGGTGATGAGCTTATGTGAGTATATATGAACTGAGTAGTCATGATTTAAATTGGACTTTTCATAAACAAGAGTAGTATTTTTATGGTAACACCTAGAGGGGATAACGACGCTTGTTATACCTCCCCACCTTTCTTACTTAGTGAAGTAGGACAAATGGTATCCCATAGTTTAGCCTGCACTAAGACCAAATTCCTAGATTTGGTAGTGGGGAAATGTTAGCTTAATTCTCGAATTACTGCAGCAACCCTTGATTGGTACTTCAATGCAGTATCTTACACAATCCTATTATCTATATGTTGAGATCCAAGTGTGAGTTGTGTTAAAAAAAAAAAAAGTCTCACAAAGAGAATTGACGTGGCTTGAAGCAGTTAATATATCCTAATTGGCTCATAATTCATTAGCTTAACCTTTTGAGTGAGGTGAATCCAATTAGACATGTTAACAAGCTCAGTCTTGGGCTCCCTCTTGATGAAATCCCCAAGTGAAGGTATCGGGCTTCTGTAGCATATCTCTAACAAATGGTATCAGAGTCAATGGTTAATTGGTACTCCACCCCAAATCTATTTCAGTGTTTAGTAAATATCAGAAGGAAGGAATCCCATGATCAATGCAATCTTCAGGCAGTGAGCGTTATGGACCTTGTGGTGTAGGAACTCGATTTCGAAAGTAGCCTCCATGGTTCAATCTAGATAAAAAAAAGACCAGATGAAGGTGGGCTTTAGAAGTTAAAATTGAGATGCGTTGATGTACAAGGATACCTGAATTAAGGGAAAACAAAGCTAACATCAAGCTTACACGTGAATTTGAGATTGTTGAGATACACGTACAAATATTAAAGAAAAGCCCAACATTGGAGAATTAGTGTAGTTTGGAGCAATTAATATATCATAATTAGCCTAAAATTCATTGGCTTTAACTTTTGAGTAAAGATTGATCCAACTAAATGTGTTGACATGTTCGAGCCTATGCTCTCTCTTGACGAACTCTCTAGGTGAAGGGCAAGGGTCCGTTGAGGTGGTGACCCTTACTAGCATCAATAGAAGGCTAGCAACCCTCATCCACCTCCAACAAAGATTGCCATGCCTCATTAACCCAACTCCTTAATTGATAAATGATTTTCATTTGCATCATATACTAGAGCTGTATACTCCGGCATTACCACAAAATTTCTCCATACTTTCTTATACTGTGCATGACCTACAACCTCAAGCAAATTAATTCATTGTCTCTGACTAAGAGCCACGTCAGATCACTCTCTCACATCCCCATCCCCCGCACCTTCTAGGAAAACCGGACCTTGTCGCATGATGTAATCAAGGCTCAAAAGGACCAATGAAATTGAAACATTTAGACAGACGCAAGACCCAATCAAAGTAATACTCAAACGTGTGAACACTGAGTTTGAGTCTTTCCCGTAAATAACAGGAAAACCCAAGGGCAATCTCGGTCATTGAGAGTCTATATATATAGACACTAAGCAATCCCAAGCCCTCGTTAAATCTCCATAATCACGCAACTTCCTCTAGCCGCCATTAATGGAAGAAGCCGAAGCAGTCATGAAGATCATCGATAGATGCTGGTTCGAGCTCGAGATCTTCAAGAAACGACCAGACACATCGCCTTCTTCAACCTCCGGATCCAATCCGGGCCAGGAAAGCATCGAAATACCCGAAAACGAGAGCCCCTGTATTCATATTTCTCGGATTCCTTCAATTCTCGTGAGGTCCATGAGCGATCAAACGAGCTTAATCCCAACAAGCTTCCAATCAAGCTCTCTCTCTCCAGACTCGGTCCTTCGCACGACGCCCATGCACAGCATGATCTATGAAGAAGAGGTAATCAAGGAAGAAGAAGAAGGTTTCAATTCGAAGGACCGGAGAAGCTCGGAATTCTCGCGCAGGAAGAAGGGCGAAATGGGGAGGAGAGCCAAGAGCAGGGCCTTGAGCAAGAGCTTGTCGGAGCTCGAGTTCGAGGAGCTAAAAGGGTTCATGGATCTGGGGTTCGTCTTCTCGGAGGAAGACAAAGTCGACTCGAGCCTGGTCTCCATCCTTCCTGGGCTACAGAGGCTGGGCAAGAAAATTAAAGACGGCGAAGATGCCAATCATCATCAAGAAGAAGGTGACGAGAATGCGAGTGTTGGTGAGTCTGCAGTTGTCGCGAGGCCATATCTGTCGGAGGCGTGGGAATGGTGGGAGGAGAAGAGGAAGGAGGATCCATTGACGAACTGGAAGGTTCCTGCTCTTGGGAACGAGACCGACATGAGGGAGAGTCTCAAATGGTGGGCTCACACCGTTGCTTCAACTGTTGTTCGATGACGGTTGTTTTCTGCTGTTGTTGCTATTGGTTCAATTTGGAAGTTTTGACATTTCTTCCTTCTTCCCTATTTTCTTCCTGTAAAAAGATTCCTTGATTTTGTTCATGTACATATGATACACACGAATTACTTGTCAATGAAATTGGCGATTCTCATCTTGGGTAACTCATGATTCTGCTTTGCTTAAGGAAAGCAGATGTGATATTTCTTTGACAGATACTATTGCAAGAAGTTTATTTCTTATGGTTCCATTTTTATTGGGTGACTTTTCTTTTCCCCAAAATCAGGACAACATATGTCAGCTTCGTTCATCAATCATTTTGATAATGGACATTATTTACAACGTAATTGATGATGGTTCTTGTGAATTGCGTAAACGCAATGACTTCTTGTCTCCTAATGTCATCTAAGAGCTTCTCGTCTCCTTTTAATTTTCTTCGTACACTCATATAATGCCTGCTCTAGGGAAAAATATTATATATAGTTCGAAGGATGTCTTTTGATGCATGTAAATCAACGATATGTCGGGTGCACTAAACCCTACGTGAGTCTTTCGCCAAACTTTTGCCTTTTGTCGCCCGCTTAGCATCTAGCCGCACCTAAAATTTGAAAGACCATCGGTCGTTCCTCTCTCTTTCTCTTCCTCGAAGACGATGCCTTATAGATTTGTCAATTGATCTCACAGAAATCTTCAATCCCACCTAATGTATACTTGCGAATTTTCTATGTAGAGCATATTTGACTATAGTATTTTGTGGGTTTCAAGGTCACTAAGTTTTGAGATTGCGACTATATTAATATTTGTCGGGAAGATATCAAATACCATTCTCACTTTGCATCCTCTAGTTTATAAAATACAAATTTGCATCTCATTTTTCAAGTTGGATACAAAGTTTCACCTCCCATCAATTAACTCATAAACTTATTTACGAATTGACCATTTTTCCTCCTCAAATTGCCTCTCCCATCTTCAAAATTTTCAACCCTCTAAAATAGAGCCCCAATTTTTTTTTGGGTCGAAAAATAGAGCCCCAATTACAAAGTTATAACCGTAACCACCATAACCTTGTTTAATGCCGCCACTATTCGTCGCTGTTGCTATCGCTGTCCACTTACGAACATTGTATTGCAATATCCCGTATCGTTTGGTAATGGGGTTCATATGCTCTTTATATATATGTAGTCTCCCTTCACATATCAATTTGACCTTTTGGATTGGACTTTTTAATAGGGTCTCAAAGTTTGGTTTTGCCCCTTCGCATGTACATCCACTTCCGTTAGTCAAATTCTACATGCCACTCCTATTTTGATTTGCGCGTGAGAGAAGGTGTTGAAAAATTTCACATCACTTAATAATTGGATTTATATGCTCTTTATATGTGTGTGGTTTCCTTTCATCTATCAATTAACTTTTTGGGTTGAAATTTCCAACGATTCCCATCTTCCCTTCTTCCTCTAGCCAATCGTCAGCCAAAGGCGAAGGCCGTAGAGGGTGAGCCTCGCCCGACCACTAGAGGACTGGCGATGACCTCGACGACCGGCTAGAGGAAGAATGAAAGAAAAAAAATAAAAAATTTGAAAATTATTAAAATATTATTAAAAAATGTTTACGTCAGCACTAGTCATGCCACATAGGACGACCAACATCCATGTCAGTGATTATTGGTCAAAATTAACCGGATGAACTGAATTAACATAAATACAAAAGGTTTAGAACTCAATTACCAAAAAAATAAAACGGTTGAGGACTCAATTAACATATTTATAATATATTTATGACTTCTTTTTTTTTTATCATTTTCCCTCTTTCGTGATGAACTGGAATATTTCCTTATCAATAATCAACTGTCACCTGAAATGCTACTAACAATAGTTTGGCATTCTATTCTTGGACATTCTTAACACTGAAAGGCGAAAACGGCCACGCCAAAGCCTACCTTTCATGTAGACATCCCGCGCGTGTCCCGCCAGATTTGTGAACCGGAGCGCCCTTCCAGCATTCAGCAACCCTTGCAGTCCTTGGTCGGGCTTGATCTAAAATGGGTAAAAAGTGTTTCTTGGGTTTTGACGATAATGGAGTAACCACTAATCTATTTTCATTAATTTAGACCGATTGGAAGTTAGGATCTATAACAGGTTTGAGGGATTAATCTATTTAGGGCGGTTGTGAAGGTTGGGCTGTTGTGAAATTAGAGATTTATCGTATGCAGGTTTGATCACGTATAGAGAGCGGTTAGCACCCCCGCGTTGCCCTTTTGGTATCTCATTTTCGATGAAGTTTTCTGATATCTTTTATTATTTGAATTTCTAAAACTAGAGTGTGATTTTTTTTTTCTGTAGGCGAAATCAAGTGAACTACGTTTCGAGAATAACTCCATGCACCTTGTGTGCTTGTTTATTTGCAAATATCAATCCATGTATGTATCATGATGATGTGGCATACGCGACATGCAATGGAAAATTGTATCATGTAATAATATGTCATGTCAAGTGATGACTTGTTGTGTAATTGCGCAATGTGTCATATCACAATGTCTTGTGATGACTTAGCGAGTGTCGTCATGGATGCACGAATCCTAGTGTAATGTGTATTTTTGCGCAATCGACTACATGCTTTGATTCTTTATTTGACTATGCATGTATGCATGCTTTTAAAATGGCTCGCCATTTTTATTAAACCATCAAAAACCTTAAACTATGCGCACTGTGATACATTTATCATAAACTTTGTTATGACGTCAAAAATCACAAACCTGTACCTTTGTAACACATTAACCCTCCATCAAAGTTTTATCAACGAGAACCATTAAAAATCTACCTACATAAACGCCAGAAAGCAAACAGTGTTAACATGGGGCTCACGTGACTTAAGTGAAATAAAACCGATCCTGTTTTGGCTGAAAAATCATCTAATGAAACATTGACGGAGGGCAAATATATCGCATAGGTACAAGTTTGAGGTTTTTTGTGTCACAAGAAAAAAATTAGATAAATATGTCATAATTGGCATAATTTGAGATTTTTTTGTGACTTTTTCCGTTTCTATTATTCGGCTTATCCGGATGCTTGGACCATCTTGAAGGACGTAGTTGATCCCTCTCCACCAAATTTATATCATATGAGATTTTGGAAAAACGAAATACTATTTATGAAGATAACTATAGTTTCGAAAATATTTTTAATGAAAAATATGAGCTGGCACAAGCCTTCAAGTCTCGTACGAGTCTGTCGGCATTTCAACTCGAGTCAATCCAGCTCCAAATCCGATTTAGCCTTCCTATGATTACCACGATATGAATCTGAGGATTGGCCTTTACTTAATACAGTTGATCTAATGCAAGAACTTATTCTAGCAGCATCAACTTTTTATATATAATTTTCTGTTTTTTATTTTTTGTAGAATGACGGTTTAATTAGGTATGCAAATTATATTCCTAATTCGCTATAATAAGGTCATAATTTGATTTTCGAGTGTTTTCCTAAGCATGGTAACAACTCATGACATTTATTTAAAAGAGCGATTTAGAGTTACCAGGTCTTTGTGATTTTCCGTCGCGCTGATTAAAGTTTTGGCTTTGAAGGCCTTTGAGAAAGAGATTTCAAAGTACATGAGAGAGAGAGGAGAGCTTGTCATGGGTTAAAATGAGGGGTGGAGGTGCTTATTTATATTCCTAAAAATATGGTCGGCTCACCCTAAGCCAGATAAGGTGAAGATAGTTTAGGGTGAGCTAGATTTTTTTTTTATCGAAAGAAAATTTCATTCATTTGTCATAATCAAACATGAGAGGAACATAAAAAACTTCCAAGAAAAGCAAATCCCAAAAGAGCTGCAAAACAAAGCAAAATCTAGAAAACAAGAAAGTGCAGCTTGCTGCTATAAGTAAGCTCTCATTCCAAAAGACTAGGTCTATCACAACATTAATAAACAATTGGCGGCCAATCATCGGAACCGTCAGTGAGGGCACACGTCGAGATCTTTCTCTCCAGAAATTACGGCTTGTAATGTGTGCCTAGGTCTGGTGTTCTCAACACCAATGCCATAGAGAGACAATAACATGTTGAACTACGGCAAATCGAACGCCTCTAAGAAACTCCCAAATCTAAATTTAGATTGAGAGAGAAAACCTTTAATTTAGATCTAAACCTAAATCGGGAGATGAGAGTTTCCGCCGAATCTCGAAGATGTCATAAAACCATGTCCCAAACATCCTAATGGCTGGACTGGTGACGACGTTCTCATAAATTTTCAGCTGCAAGTAGATTAATTCATCACGATGAGTGAAGGAAAACAACAACAACAACAAGCGAAAGAGGATGCCAAACAAGGCCAAAAAAGACTCCCAAATTAGATCAGAAGGAAAAAAAAAAGGAAGGAAAATCAAGGCTTAGAAGCAAATCAAAGCAGGCTCTCGACTTAAAAAATTGAAGTGGAGAGCCTGCAGGTGAAGTTTCTTTGAGGGAGGGTTCTTTTGGAAGAGAGAGGGTTGCCGATGAAGAGGTTAGGGTTTTCTCTAATCCTGGGTGAGCCAGATTTCACTTTACCTGATTCATAGCGAATTCAGAACATGCTACACAGATTAGGGTGAATCGGGGTAGTGGGTCTCATGGTTCCTGAATCGAGTGACCTCTATCTAGTTTATGACGAAGCTGATCTGTTGATGAGACATTTTCTTCCAAAGCTCATATCTTTTCAGTCCAATATCAGATTGGCATGATTCACACGTCATTGGAAACCTCTTGATGCCCGATTTTCATCCGAATTGCATTCCCCAATCGGTATCTTCAATTCAGTTGGTCTTTCAACGACTTTGGCTCTCGGAATCCAATCTCTCTCTCTCTCCGAGGTCGTTGAGGTCCAAAGTTTGTCCCAAAATAGCTCACTCTTTGGTCTTTTTATTTGTTTTATTCTTATTTTGTCTTTTTGTGGTTTTTCTCCTTGAAAAAATTTGACCTAAACTTTGATTCGTAATTTCTCCTTCGTTAATCCCATCCTCCTTGATACTTCACAAACGCGTTGCATTGTATGAAAGTCTCTTTGAATTGGGAAAACATCTCAGATTTGCTGATGCCATTGCGATCAAACAAGAGATGCGATATCTCCTTATCCTGATATCTGATTGGGGCATATTGGCAATGGTTTGAAAGCCCTCGATGT